TTTTTAAATAATTCTCTAACTCTTCTTTATACTACATTATTTCCACCTATTTTCATTCCCTACCCTCAGCTTCACTCAACTTCCATGCATTTACTTCTCAGAAAAATTTAAGCTAGGACATAATCAAATCCCAATCTCTGTTTTCCTCTTCATTTTTTGTTCATTCTAGTCTCTAGTTTTAGTCAACATTAGCAGTCCAATTTCTGGGACCTCCTGAGGTAGATCAGAAGGCAAGCAGAAAAACACTAACCTCTCTTCCTTCAAACATCAAATCCCACAAACAAAAATTATGCAAGGACTCTGAGGATGGAAACAGAATGGCACTTACAGGTAGACTTTAACTGCAGAGTTTCATTTGGTATCACTTAATTACAAGGTTAACTTGCAGCCTTCCACTTTGTTTTACCCCAATATCTGAGAGTAGATGAAACTTTTTGGCTAGGTATTGTCCCAATATGTAGCTGAACTTAACCGTTGATAAAAGCATCCAAAAGTAAACTAATCAATGAAAGATGTGTATCTTACAAATCCCACCTCTTTACTTAAATATAATTCTTGGACTATAGTGCAGAGAAAAAGAATTTTTCCAGTGTTCTACAAAGAAATGATTGAATCACTGCTACTGGTCCACTTTGGGGAAGTGAAACCAATGCCAACAGACTGCCATAACCCACTCTCAGCTACGATTCCAGTTATGTTATAAATAAAAACTGGGAGGGAGGGAAGAGGTACACCAGAATGGTGACAGCCACTAAGGAAAAGGGGTGGGCACAAAGGAGCTATATTCATTTCTCTATCTTCCTAATTATTGTCTTTTAAATTATAACTATAAGGTTATAAATCTGAAATTCAAAGAAATTCAATACGGTACTTGAAAACATTGTCCACCCTCTTCCCTGTAATATGGATCAGACTGGCCCCTCCTTACAAAAGCAGAGGCTACATGGAAGACACGCCAGTCCAGGGGTGTAAACTTAGGTTATGTTCAGAGACTCAGGATCAACTTTTTCCTTCTGGTTCCACCACTACTACTCCTGGTAAAATCAGGCAAATTAGTTAACATCTCAGTGCCTCAGTTTTCTCACAAGTAAAATGAGAGAAACACTATCTGTTTCTCAGGGGTTGTTCTGAATAAATGAGCCCTCAGGCTTGGCATATAAGGGCTCACTGAAAGAAACCAACAGTTGATAATTGCTTACTATCCAGTTTACAAGATAGTTACCAAGTGACTAGTTGCCAGCTCTTAAGTATGCAGTGCTCTAACAAGATTTAATTCAGTATGTATCTGAGTACTTTGTAAACATTAAGACTCTTTTGAAGCTTGGAACCCAAGTTGAAACTCAAACTACTAGGTTTGAGGGAGAGTGTTCCTAGAAGAGGGGCAACAAAGTACTTCTGGTTTCATGGAAAGCAATAAAGGCTAAATAAAAATAATAAAAATAAGCTAGATTTGTAGAGACCCCAATTAACATAATCTTATACTTTTTCCATCCAAATAATGGCAGAAAAGCATAATTAGTAGATGTTACTGGGCCAGAGAAAAGTGGTACAGACCATAGGAAATCAGTGTGAGGGTGAGAGAACAGGGTGAGATTATAGGAATAGCTAAAACAAGGATAGAAACTCAACAAGGATATAAGAATACTTGTTGAGCTTTGTAAAATGGATGCTTCTGAGAACCAGCAGGTCTGAGGTAGAGCACAGGTGACTATGTTTTTCAAATTTCATCAGTGATTCTGATGTTTGCCCCAAGTAGCACAAAACAAGCTCACCAATTTCACAGGAATAGAACATGTGACTAAAATGCTGATTAGAACATTTAAATCATGAACCTGGATCAGGTATAAGTGAAGATAGGTTCCAGGCTCATAAAAATCACAGGAATCTATAGATTGGGAGAAAATGATAGGACTAGCAAGGTTAAAGGGGAGATGGATTCATGTGAGCTCATGTGACAGGGTTAGAACCTTGGTTCTCAAACTTGGCTAAACATCAGAATTACCTGGTGTGCCTCAAAAGACTGTTGCCCAGGTCACACCTCAAGACAAAGCAGATTCTGAAAGTGAAACCCAGACATCAGCACTGTTTAAAGCCTCCCCAGGTGATTCCAACATCCAACCAAGTTTGAGAAACCCTGGGTTAGAAAGTTTTCGGGAAATCCACAGGTCACTTAGTGAGGGGAAAGTAAGTTAATGGTTCTCAAATGCCAGCTTATAAGAGAATCACCTGGAAAGCAAAGCTGTGGCTTCGCAGAAGAGAAGCTGGTTCTCCAGAGGTTTACAAATAGCCCAGGTGATTGTAATGCATAGCAATGCTTGAGAACCACTGGGCCAGGTGACTGGAAATAACTCCAAATGAGAAATTGAGGACTCTGAACAGCCAAGACATTCCCATCCTTCTAGGCCTGATGAACACAAGCTCCTCCTGTAAGGTGTAATAAACATTACAGAATAAACCTAATATCCAGCAGTAAAGTTAAAGGCATCCCTGACTTCACACATGTGATACTTAGGACTCATCCTTTGCCTCAGAAGTCAACTTTCCAACCACTCACATCTGGGCTCTTGGTGGATAGCATAAAGCAAGCACGCGTTGCCACCTGCCTTTCAGAATTTAAAACTTAGCTTATGAGGAATCCAGAGAAATCACCAAGACACCCACACACACCAATAAGCAGCATATACAACAGGAATTCTTACTACCATGCAGAAAGAAGAAACTCATGTACATAACTAAAGTTACACTTGTAAGGTCTGAACCTGGCCTTTCACATAAGCGTCAATTACATACCTCTGTTTTGTAACTTCTTCAATAACATATGTAACTTTTACTGAACAATGTTGCCTTTTTTATATCCTGGCTATCATGACCAAGCCTACCCCATGACATACCTGATTAGAAAAATCAGGAAACCACCTAGTTACATAGTAATACATTAAATATGACCACTTCCAACTTAGGTCTTAACTGTTCTGTTCACAATGTTACACTGTATCTGATAAGATTCAAGAGAATGCATTCTTGTGCATATGACCAACTCATCATCCCATCAGAAATCTCTATAGCAGCGCCAGAATTTTCATTTTCAAGATACATGAGCTTTTGTCAAATGGTGACATCTCCTCTGTAATATGAATTTTCAATGATATAAAAAATGATGGATATATTTCACATTTCACAAAGCACAGAGAACAGAAACCTATCAATGAATTTAAAATTTGTGACAATCTATTTGAAATCTTACACTAAAAGAACTGTACACTTCCATAAACCATATAAATGTAAAGCAGGTACCAATGTTTTTACTGGCAACAAGAAATAAAACATTCCTCCCTAAAAACGTCCAGCTGTTACATTAGTACATTCTTTAAGGATTTTAATTAACATTTCAGTTGAAAAAATGTAATACTTTACATAGCCTTCAAAAGGCAACTGATGAAAACTTTAACTCCATGTAACGTAGTTCAAAACAAATTCACCGCAGATTTTTTCCCCACCACTGGAACTTCACAAATCTTCAAATATATAAAGGCATAGGTCTTACAACAAGTTTACAGTAAGTTACTCTTTTTAAAGAAAATAAAATGCTATTTTCAATCGAAAGGGCTTCCTAAATGTTTGTTTCTTCACTTGAACCTGACTTCTCTATCTACAGATCCCATTCTACAAAATCGCTTAATAAATGCTTGTCTTCCAAACTAAGTCATTAAGCAAAATAAGCACAAAGTAAAATGAAATTTTTACAAGGAAAAGAAGAGTTAAATTAACCAGAAATGTGGTCATTTGTTTTCCTGTAGTATAACATGAAAGGAGGAATTTATTAAACAGAGAGGGTGACAATTCAGATAACAGATAAGCATTAATTTAAAAGTTATTAGTTAAGCTATATAATTTTGAGTTCAGATCTTTACAATGTTATTACATTTAAGTCATTATACGTTGCCACACATAAATCATCTTCACATGACACAGAACACTACTAATTTTAGGTTTAATGGTCTCACCGTCCTTAAAATCAGACCCAGTTCCTTACTGGGGTAGTAGTACTCCAGGACACGGAAAATGAACACCAGGTAATTTTTCTAAAGCTGCCAACAGCAAAACCTTCACTAATGGGTTTTTAAGACCCCACCAGAAGGGCATATTATATGTCGTGTCCTCCCCACGCCCCACCCAAGCATTCACTGAAAACAGGATGCTAACAGGGCATAATACCGATTGGGGAAATCGAGATTTACGGAGGAACTGGGGGTCCTTTTAAAAGACATTCCACCCACGTTTTCAAAAGGTCATTTGCAATCAGCACATCTGCGTTCCCTATTTTTGAGATCACCACTGTATTCTAAACTGAAGCCAACAGAGGGAGGAAAACAAAGCGGAGTGGCACAGCCGTGGACTCCGAAAGTTTTTGCTCTACCGACTGTACTGCACCGACTTGGGGTCGGGGGTGGCCGAGACCCTAGGGAGAGGCTAGAAAGGGCGACTGGCAGTGACTGACACTTGATATTTGGACATCCAGCGCCGATGTCACTCAGCGGTAACAAGACTCTGCGGTGCAAAGGCGGAGAAATCAACCCACGTTCCATCAGCGCAATGGGACGGAGCTCCTGGCTCTCGCAAGGAGCGCGCGGATGGATGCGTCTCAACTTTGGGGGGGGGGCTTAAAAAAAAAAAAAAAAGGCAGCAAATGGTGCATCCTCCAGCTAGCTCAGTTTCCCTCTCTTCGGATTCCTGCGCGAATTAAAAGGCACACCGCATTAACCCCTCGGCTGCCTCCAGACCCAGCGATCCGCAATCCTGACGGGGTCACTCCGAGGGAGACTGGGTCGGGAGCCCGAAAGCACGCGCGGGTAAAGTTGGCGACGCCGCACCCTCGGGGCTGCGTCCCCAAGCTCGACCCCACTCCAGGCTGCGCCCCCAACCCAGATTCCAACCGACTGGAGCCCCCAGCCCGGACACCACACGAGACGGCGCCCCAGGCCCGCGCCCCCCACACCTACCTTGGGCCAGCGCCCGCAGCAAGTGCATCTGGAGCGCGAGCAGCGCCCACCACCCGCGGCGGCCCGAGCCGAACTTTGCCGCCCGCCACTCCGCGTCCCGGCCGGGGGTCTCGGCGTCTAGGCCGGGCGGAGCCCTCCGCGGCCGCCCCGGGCCCGCGCGCTCAGGGGGCGCAGCGCCGCCGCCCCGGGCCATGCTGAGCAGCCGCCGCCGCCGCCCGGCGCCGCGGGACAGGCAGGGAACGCGGGGCGGCCGCCCAATGCGGGAGCGCGCCCCGGGCTGAGGGGCGGTGTCCGAGCCCCGCGTGAGGGGGCAAGGAGAAGTTGTAGGCGGGGAGACACCCGCCTCCGCTCACGTCTCCGCCGCCGAGCGCCGGCCTCGCAGCGCTCTTTGAGGGATCGCGGGCGCTGAGGAGCCTCCGTCGCCACCGCCCGCGCCCGGCGCTGAGGAGAAAGTGCGCCCGCCCGCGCGCCGGGTCTCGCCGCGGCCGCCGCGCCCCATTCACAGCTCGGCCGCACGCGCCGCCCGCGCCCGCCGCCCGCCGCTGATTGGCCGAGGGAGGTGGCTCCGCGCCCGGGACCCGCCCCCTCAGCGCTCGCTTGTTTTCAAACTCGCCGCGCCCGCCCGCCTGCAATTTCGCGCCGACCCCGATGCTCTGCTCCAGCGGCTTCCCGCGCCGGCTGCGCCCTCTAGGGACCCATGGCGGGGACTGCAGGCGGCGCCGTCTCGGCACGCGCTCCCCGGGCGGGCTCGCAGGCAGGGAGGAGCCGCTTCCCCGAGCTCCAAGGCGGGGCGGCGCCCGGGTGGGGCGGGACAGGTGAGCCAGGACAGGTGGGGCGGGGCCCAGGTGCTGCCGGACGCGCGCGGGCACTACGGGGAGCTCGCGCCAGGGGCAAGTGGGCACGCGCCCCGGAGCCGCCCGGCGCCCACCCGCGGGCTCCAGGCCGAGGTGGCTACGCGCCAAGTTGCTGTAATTGCAAACAGGCGAGATCGGATTTTTAATTCGTGGTAACAAGAGGCACCCCTGTGCGCAGACCCGCCGCCTGCTCAGATGCGTGGACATGGCTTCGGGGAGGCCTTCAAGGTCACGTCTGGCCAGAGGGCCGCAACACCAGCCCCTGCCAGGCCCGGGGTGGGCGGATCTGGGGGAGCGCCTGCGGGGAAGGGGCTCCCGGCGTGGGTCCACGGGGTGGGGTCGGGTGCAGGGCGTAGGGGGATGGGCGCGGACGCCGGCAGCATGTGGTAAGCATTAGCCGAGTTTATGGGGTGAACTAAGCGCTCTGCAGCTGAGAGGCCAGCGTTTCCGTGGGAGGAAGGCTGGAAGGTGACAGAGTCTGACACTGCTGGGAGTTGGCTGGGAGCAGGAGGAGGAGGAGCATGGGGGAGTTGGTAGAGTTTGAGTGAGGTCACGGATGTCGGGAAGGCCAAGGTTCGCAGAGTGCGCCCAGCAGGGTGCTGGCTCTGAGCAAGCTCTTGACTCTGACTTGCTGGTGTTACCGGGTTTATCTTTATCGTCCCAGGCGGGAGGGTGGGAGCAGCTTGCCTTGGCCAGGAGTCTGTAAGCAGGAGCTAGCTCCTGTCTGCAGAGCTCCCGTGGTGGTGTGAGCTAGCTGATTTAGGTGCTCTACACACGCCCTTATCTGATGTCTTAAACCCGAAGGAAATGTGGGGAAACTGAGGCCTGGACAGCAGCCAAGTGGAGGAGATGGGTTAGGCTACATCTGACCAACCCCATTCCCAACCTGGCCCTTCCAGCTCTGCTAGGAGGAGCAAAGGGGCTAAATGCAGCCCAAAGAGAATGTACTGAGGGCCCCTAAGTGGGCACCGTGTCTAGAGCCCCAGTAGCCTCTGGACACGTAGATAAGACTGGGGGGGAGGGGCTTTCATTTCCCTGTTGCGATCCATGTGCGAGTCTTCAAACTTGTAAGATTCCATGAAAGTCTAGGGGAGAAGACCAGCAATACCCACTGTGCGTTGGGCACTTCCTCTGGGCCCCCCCTGTGCAGTAGCACCGTGTCACTGCCATGCTGATGTAAGAGGTGCTATCGCAATCACCAATGAGGAAACTGAGGGTTGCAGAGGTGTCATGATTTGCCCAAGGTCAGGGGCTGAAATCCTACCCTCTCCATCTAAGCACCTCTGCTTTGCTCAGAAATGGGAGTAGGCATTGGAGGGAGGATTACAGTAAAGCAAATGGGGACTTGGAGGTCTTAGCCCTTCTCTTTCGTGTTGTGAAATTGTGGTAAGTTACTGGTTGTAAGTTCCAGGGAGAAGTTAGGAATATTTCCCATCTCACAAAGATTGTCTCAAGAAAGTGAGCTGATCCACTAATGCTAGCACTAACAATAGTGTTAGTCTTTTTCCCCAATGCTTGTGCCAAACCACCCTCCCTCCACCCTCCAGTTATGTTTGGTTCACACTGAACTCAGCAACATATGCCCATGTACCCTTACAGTACCAGAATGAATATGACTCAAGCGGCTGCTTGACTTTTAAGACACCCCAAAAATGTCCAGAGCCTCTTCTGCTGTGACTTATTTTGCAGTTAGCGGAAAGCTTCATGGAAACCTACTTGGAAATTGGAAAGCCAAGTCAGTATAGGGTAGGTTTTAAGAGATTGACGACATCACTGCTACTAGAGATGATCTGGAGACGCCTTTGGGAAATTTTTTATTCCAGTACCATCCTGGGGAAATAAGGCTCTATTACCATCTCCATTGTGCAATAGAAGAAGCGAAGCCAGGCAAGTTTAATATATGCAAATCAACTGTTGAAGCTGGAATGAGAATCTAGCTGTCTGAAGTCCTGGTCTATGACCACCCCTCTTTGACTCCCCCCACCTAGCTATGCTGCCTTTTACACGTGAGGAGTGTTTAGGCAAAGCTGTTCTTTCTTTTTAAAAAATAAAATAAAATAAATAATAATAGAAAAACCCTTTTATAATGCCGGGGAGAGGAGCTAGCCAGTGCAGGGCTAAAATATTTCTGCCCAGAAGACCAATTACTCTTTCCCTCAATTTTACCCTGCCCAACAAGACCTCAAGAAGTTTGGTACTTGTACACTCAACTTCAAAAATCAAAAATCTTTAGCCATATATTCTAAAAGGCCATGAGGTGGAGGGATGTTACTCCATGAAAGCTGACTCATTTTTCTTTTTAAAAATGTGTAATTGTTTCCTAATTTCCAAAATAAGAAGTTAGGCTTTCCCCTGCTTAATTAAAGAGAGGAAAATTTCCAAAGAAATAGTAATTTAAGTGGAATTGGGATGATCACTGAGACCACCAGTGTTTTCCTCTTGTTACAATTTAAAGCCTGGCTAATCCAGGCATGGCCCATGGTTGTCAGCCTCACCTGGGAGCTGATCCAAAATGCACGGTGTCAGCCTGTCCCTGGACCCACAGAACTGAATTTGCATTTAAACAAGACCTCCTCGTGATTGCTATGTTAAAATTGGAGAGGTAGTATTAGTTTCTTCATGTCTATTAGGAATTTAACAAGCCTGATAAAGACACCTACCTATCTTTTGTGTTCTCTTATCTTCCTTTCTGCTTTATTCCTTCTTTGCATCATTCAGTCTTTCTCCTACTTATAGTCCATGAGATAAAGTTTTACCAATGATAGAATCATAGTGTTTTATTTTAAGAGGAAATTATGCAACTCCCTAAAACATTAATAGAGCAACTGTATAGAAATTAAAAACCAAAAAAAATCTTTATGATACTATGGGAAAAAACTGGAAAAATTAATATCTATATAAATAGCTTTTCTTCAGTAAGAAAAATAGATGAACAGATTAGCAAAGAAAATAAACAGGCAGGTCTCAGAGAAATACAAAGAGAGGATAAATGTTTGTGAAAAGGCCCAAAGAAATTGATCCAAAGAATGAAAAATTAAAGCAATAGAGCTTTTTAAAAAATGGCAAAGGACTGAAATGGTAAGACATGGAAAGGGTTTGTGGAAATAGGGATTGTTATATTCTTTTCTTCCCCTTAAATTCTTTTATTGGTCCATTTTAGGTATACAATACATTTATATTTATCATTGAGTACTTGTACATGATGTACCTTGGTTCTTATTTTTTCCCTATTCCCTCCCCTCACTTCACCCCCTCCACCCTTCCCTATTTACAAAGACTTTGTTTCCATTTTTTCCTTTTCTCATTTTTCCTTTCCCTTCTTTCCCCTGCTACTTCCCCTACCCCTTTGCACCTTTTCTTCCTATTTAAAATTATCAATTATTCATTTTAATCCTTATTTACACTTTCAGTTTCTCACACTAGAGAAACTATTCAGTATTTACACGTGTGTCCTATTTATTTCACTTAAGAGGATGGCCTCAATATGCATCCATTTAGCTATAAATGTCTCTAGTTTCTCATTCTTTATGGCTGAGTAGTGCTCCATTTTATAAAAAAAATCCACATCTTTATCCAGTTTCCAGTTGATGGGCACTTGGGCTGCTTCCAAGCTTTATTACAAACTGCTGCTGTAAATATGGGTGCACACATCGCTGTGGTATGATTCTTTCAATTCTTTGGGGAAGATATGGGGATTGTTATATTCTTGGTGGAACTATAAACTAAACAGCCATTCTGGGTAGCAACCCACAATCCATAGCTAAACTTTGAATGTAGATTCAGTCAATCTGCCTCACTAATGTGTAAAAATATTTGTGTAAGGTTTTCCGTTGCAGCACTGCCAATCATAGCAAGAGAGTATAATATGGTACATCCACACAGTAAATTTCAATGACTGTTGAAAGAATAAAACTATAGAGTTAAAAGTCATGTTGCAGAAATGTCTTCTAGAGGCAGTTAAATATTTTCTTATAATACATACATGTATATATTCAAGTTATGACAGGCCTGACATTCGAACAACTTGGGTTAATTAGGTTAATGGAAGATTGATCTGCCTCTTGTTATGTGTAGCATGTACCCAGGTAAATGTCCAAATCTCAGCTGTATTGACATTCAACCAACTTTAGTTACAACCAGCCCTCAGGAACTGATCAAGTTCGTAAGTTAAGCATCTACTGTATAGAATGACCTCAGTTTTTTTATCTGAAAGAATCAACACCAAACTCATAATAGGGTTTCCTTCAGGGGACGTGGAATTAGGTTCTTTTCTATATTTCTTAAATTTTCAAATGTGAATGTACATTTTATAAAAGTAACGAAGTGTTTTCAAAAAGTAGATAATGAGGAGCCTAATAAGTTATTTCATATCCATAGCCCATTAAGAATTGTCTCTCATGGGTTATTTGTTCTTCTGAGAAAAATAATCCCTAATCCTGTTAGAAGGCAAGTTACACCGTGCATGTGTCCACAGGGACAAGCTGTCCTCCCCC